TCATCGCTGTGCCCAGAGCCAGCACGTGTCCCACTTCAGCCCATCGCAACAGGCCTGGCATGAAACCCTGCGCAGTGCTTAGCACTCGTAGTAAGCCCTAGGGGAAGGTGAACTGCACTTCTTCCAAGTTATGCAAAACCATAACCCTGGGAAAACGCACTTCAGCACTTAGGCACTGTACAAATGGAAATTAGAAAGAAAAAAGAAACCCTCTTCTATAGATAGGCTAACGGGCACTATATTAGGAAACACTTGAACCTTTTTTCCCAATACCATTTTATTCTAAGAAAAAGATTTTTTTTTTGAGCAAATTGTAAGTGATGTGGTCTCATAACCCATAATAAACACATTATGCTCTCAGAAATAGATCTTATCAAGTGGTAAATACCTTTAAGCTACTGAGACTGCACAAGCTTCCACTGTCAGTCCTTTGGCACCGACAAGGAAACAAGTTTCAGAAAGGCCCAGAAAACCCCACTAAAGCCAATACCCAAATATGATCTTTTTTTTACTATGGTTTTATACCAGCACAGTTCCACTGACTTCAATGGAAAAAAAAAAAAAAAAAACTAATTTGTATTCAAGGGTAAAGCAAGACCATAACAGCTTCTTGCAAAACTATGACCCTCATATTATCTAACCTGCTGTTCTGACCAGCATTTCCTTTTCTGCAATAAGTCTAACCCAGAACTGCAGCTGGCAGAGCTTAAGATATCAGGGGAGGCAGCAGAGGGGAGAGATTACCAGAACTGTGCTCTGGGAGCCCCAGAGCACCATTGCAACCAAAATATCTCTTCCTTCAGCACAAACATGGCAAAACGCTGGTGGTGGTGAAAGGTCCCTGTTGCTACAGGACTACCAGTGTACCAGTCCTACGCTCATATAGCTGTGCTCTTCTGGTACAGCAAAGCCACTGCGCGCAGGTCTAAGCAGAGCAGACCTGGGAAATCACACCCTGAGCTCTGCTAGCAACTGTGTCAGTCAAGGACCACGTTTCTTGGCATCCCTGCATGACACCTCGCTGTAAAAGACAACTACGAAGCAAGGCAGCTACAGTCTCTCCGTGCAAGGGGCTACGAGAAGGTGGGCCGGGTCCCATACTGGCCAGATGGTGCTTCTCTTCTGGCAGAAGGGAGGAAAAATCCACAGCTCTTTTAATCACTTCAAATTAGACTGCTCCTCCATCAAAGTCTGAACTCCCACCGGAGGGACACACAGCACCAGAGAGCTCCGGCTTCACTCCCTTCTTCCAGGCAGGAAAGGCAATGCCAGCCTCCAGCCCAGCTGCCCCTCAGGAACACATGAACAGGCCCCCCAGGCCAGGATCTCTTTTTGGAATGAGAAATGCCAACGATGCTGCAGAGGATACACGAGCCGGCTGTTTCACTGGGACTGCAAAAACTCTGTTTTGGTTACAGACAGCAGAATTGCTACCCCTTAGTTAATTTGATTAAACATGCTGTCTGCAGCTAGGAAAATCTCGCTGATCTTAAATATGGGCAACTTTCATGCAAATTGAGAGAGCAGAGTAGGAGCCAGTAGGAGGATATTGAGTTCATTAGATCTTGTCGTTCACATAATACTTCCACTGATTTAACTCATTGCAGGTAATCTAACGTAGACACACTTTATATCAGTCAAAACCTATCTATATGCTGACAAAAACTTGCAAGAGTTTTAGTAACTCAAGATAAAGATATATTCTTGTGCTATATACCTGCATGTATGCATACAGGTACAGAAAGTTTCCATGAACCATTTTACCCCTTTCTGTGATCCACTACAAAAATGACATGTGCCAGAAGATAAAGAATAAAATGTATAGAAATACTTGCATGAATCAGCCAGCTAAAAGTGCTCAAAAAGGCCTGAATTCACAATCCCCCTTCGTGCTGATGTCCGTGATTCTCGTAGTCCCCCAGATAACCCACATT